TGTACTCGGTACAGTACGGTATATTTACATTGATTTACCTTTGCGTTAAATAACGCGTCCGCTCTCACTAAAATATGAGTTGACGCATGTGCTCCGCGCGTTCAACGCAAAGGTAAACGTTTAAGTATATACCGATACACATTTCCATTCACTTGCGGTAAACGATCAACCATCTCTGATTGATACTGTTTGAACAATTCCATGATGACAAACGTATTGGGTCAATTCGAAAGTTTCCGCCGCTGACATTTAAATGTCGCCACTTGTAACTGAGCGTAGCTTGACAAGTGAATCCAATTGCATTTTGTAGATGTGACATTTAGCAATCTAACTCAGAGCAGAAAGATTCATTTTTCGTTCTGCGTCATTGTTTTTGAATCGATTGAAAATGGATCGTGATAAGGTGTTTTTTCGAGGGGCCCTTCTTTTCTTATTTGATTCGAAGAAAACTGCCGCTGAAGCTCATCGAATGCTGTCAGATACTTATGGCGAGCAAGCTCCATCGGAACGAAGCTGCAGAGAATGGTTTCATCGATTCAAAAGTGGTGATTTTGACTTGAAAGACAAAGAACGTTCAGATCGGCCAGAAGCGATTGAAGATGTCGATTTGCAAGCATTATTGGATGAAGACCCAACCCAAACGCAAAAAGAACTTGCATTGCAGTTAAACGTCGGCCAAACAACCATTTTCAGACATTTGCACGCCATGGGAAAGATTCGGAAGCTGGGAAAATGGGTTCCACATCAACTGTCTGAAGAGCAACTTCAAGCACGGATCGTCACATGCAAAAAACATCTTGAAGAGCACAAAAAACACAGTTTTTTATATGGAATTGTTACCGGCGATGAAAAGTGGGTTTATTACGAAAACCCCAAGCGTAAAGCAGCGTATGTTGATCCCGGCCAACCGGCGCCATCCCAGCCAAAACGAGATATTCATTGCGATAAGGTTATGCTGTGCATCTGGTGGGATATGAAAGGAGTCGTGTATTATGAGCTGCTAAAACCAGATCAAACGATTAATAAGGAACGCTATCGACGCTAATTGAATGCATTGGATGAAAAACGGCCATTAATAGCTCGAAAACACCACAATGTTTTGTTCCACGATGACAACGCTAAGCCACATCGTGCAACAATCGTTAAAAATGAGGAAGAGCAGTTCGGTTGGGATCGGCTTGATCAGCCCGCGTACTCTCCAGACCTTGCTCCTTGCGACTACTATCTATTTCGATCGATGCAGATTGCCCTGTCTGAAGTACGCTTTCAAAATGAGGAAGAAGTGCGAAAATGGGTTGATGACTACATAACCTCAAAAGACGAGGACTTCTTCAAGCGAGGAATCCACAAGCTGCCAGAAAGATGGCGGGAAGTCATAGCTAACGATGGCGAATACATTGGTTAATGTACATTTTCAATTTATTTTGCAATAAATGTATTTTTAGACAAAAAAAACGGCGGAAACTTTCGAATTGACCCAATATATGAGTTAAAATTGTAACTCATTCAGAACTCTCACAATTCTAATTCTTATGAGCATAATGGAAAAATTCACTTTCACAGCATGAAATCAATGTCCGAGCATTAACAAAACCAAGCAATCTAATCGCATAGTAACGTATGATAAAAATAAAATTTTAGGTTGTTTGAAGCACAGATACCAAGTGCATGTTGGTTACATTTGCTAAATTCTTCTCAAAATTAATCAAGAATCAGCAGATATCCATGGGTGAGATTGATAGTAGTGTGTGTTTTTTGACAACTTATATTTTGATAAAGAAGAGTATGTTTCCCTCGTGGCTTTTGGTGATTTTCATTTAAATGTTAAGAAATACTGAATTGGTGTCTTCGCAAAAATTGTTGGCCTTTTCAAACTGTACAACTTTACAAAGGACAGTTATCGCTTATTTGTAAAGATAAATGAATTATTCCAAGATTTGCTCACCGCTCGAACAAATACTCTACTGATTCCAATACAAAGCCTGTGAAACATACACCAGTCGCAATGACAGACAAAAAGCACTGACTTCGATCATACAGCCGTAAATTGTAATTGCAATTATTATTTTCCTCAGAAATTGATTTTTGTTCAGTTTTCAGCACATGAACTGGTGCCGTAAAGTCATTATTATAATTTACTCAAATTCTCAACGAGAGAGCGACTTATTGACTCTACAATTTTAGAATCGACAACGATTCAAATGCTTTATTTGCTTAATTCGGTCATCCGAATACTACGAGCAAATGCTCCAATGAAAAATGTTCGCTTGGGGGTCGTTGTAGCTCAATGGACGGAGCATCTGACCGGCAATCATAAGGTCCGTGGTTCGATTCCCGGCAATAGAAAGATGCCAATTTTTCCTTTTCTTCATCGCTTTGAAAATTAGTTTGGAAGGAAAGAAATCATTGACATTTACTCTAAGCGATGCGTTTTGGATTTTTCATTGGAGTATTTGCTCGTAGTATTTGGATGGCCAAATTAAGCAAATAAAGCATTTGAATCGTTGTCGATTCTAAAATTTTAGAGTCAATAAGTAGCTCTCTCGTTGAGAATTTGAGTAAATTATATTATTTTCTTCATGAAATCTTGATTTGTTTGCGGTTGAATAGAGGTGACATTTATCAAAATGTGATTTTGCGCAAGGCTTCGACTACTAAAAAGATCAAAGATATGTTACAATTTTCCGGCGTAATATTCGAAATGTGTTACGAGATTCTTCCAATCGAATTTCATCCTCAATCAGAAAATCAATTTTCAGAAATGAAATATCCGTTGCTTTGCAAATAACAAATTTCTCTCTTGCATATTCGAAATAGACAACCTGGACGCATCGACAAATTCGAAATTCACTGTTCGCTGTTCGTTCATTGATGTTTCATCATCGCATCAGCACATAGTTCACATGTTTGTGAATCGGCTACACGTTCAGTTCAACTCAATAAATATTTTCTTTTATTCGCGACGCCATTTTTGCTCTGCCAAATAGAGTCAGTCTAACACACAATTCTCAACGCTCTACGGACTTAAATCGGCGAGTTTGAACTTTGAATCGATTTATTTTTGCATTTCCGAAACAAACAGTTTATTTTGTGGAGAACAGGTGAGTTATTGTCAAAATGGAATATTTCAAATATCTCTGAATTTGTTATTTTTAGTAATGAACATTGATCAGACTGAAAATTCTGATTTCTCATTTGCGTCGCAATGAATGGTCACGGAACAGAGCCGCCTGATAAACGCGAGTCTGACGCCATCGTGCTACAAAATGAATCAATTTCAGGCGGAATGACAATCAAACAGGAACCAACTATCAAACATGAATCTGAAACTCCCGAGGAAATGTCGATGGTATCGCGACCAATACACACAGCCATTGGTTCACACACGAAAAAAACCTTCGAATTGTATAAAGAAATACGTCTAATATATGCCGTTAGTAGGTTTCCTTCCAATATTCCCATGTATTGACAGGAATCCTACCAAACAACACATATACGCACATACAGTCATTGGCGCATACACAAACGTCATAGATGAGTTGACGTTTGTGTATGCGCCAATGACTGTACATGCGTATGTGTTTTGTTTAGTAGGATTCCTGTCATTATATGGGAATTTTGGATGGAAATCTACTAACGTCATATTTTAGACGTATTTCTTTGTTTGATTCAAAGGTTTTTTTCGTGTGTGTTCAGTTGACAGTTCGATTGGTGGTGCAGAAATGGATAACAGCGACGGTTGCTTGGATTTTTGTGATTTAGATGAGGTGAAATCGGAAGTGAAAAATAATAGTGTCAAAGGTGAGGCGATTCGCCTTCCAGGGAAAAGCTGTAACAAAGACCAAACGCCACAAAACAATACAAAGAAGAGTTTCCTGAAGGCGAAACCAAGTGGATCAAATCACCAATGTGCGACGAAGAAATTTTCAGCCAAACCAGGGAAATGTGGCACAGCAAACAGTTTCGGTGGCAAGAAGAAACTAGCTGAAGGCAAGGCAAATAGAAAGCGACACAAGTGTCCATTGTGCGATTATGTCACAAACATTAAGACCAATTTGAAAAAACACATGCTCAAGCACACCGGCGAACGACCATTTCCATGCAGCGTATGCCCGAAACGATTCACAGCAAAACAAAGTCTCCAATCGCACATGAAAGCACACATCGATGCATTTCTGTTCAGCTGCGCAAGTTGTTCGCAAGGATTTGATCGCAGTGAAGAGAAGGTGGAACACGAAACTGGTTGCAAGGTGCGTCGCTATGTGTGTCATCTGTGCAAGGAATTCTCTACATTGGATAAGAAGGATTTTAAACGTCATCTGCGTGTACATCCCGGCGAAAAGCCATACCGATGCGAAATATGCTCGAAGTGCTTTTCGCAAAAGACTGGCATCAATCAACACAAGAAAATTCACAAGTAGCTGTCTGCTGCCATGGAATTACACTTGGAGTCGATCATATGGAAGGACACAACTTTTGATCATCAATTTGCATTGAATAAAAACAAATACGAAATAAAACGAATTACATACGTAATCCAAACTTTTCCGCTCCGCAGCAATTTAGTTTACCTCCCGCTTAATGTTTTACCAAAATTTCAATGGACCCTTTTTTCATAGCATTTTTGACCTTAAAATATAACTATTTCGACCATTTTGCATACAAAAGTGTCATTTTCGAACAAAATTTCAAAAATTTCAAGAAATGTTGATTTCGGACCAAATTTATGGGCAAGTAGGTTGTTTGAAGGATCCCATTTTTTTGCAAAAAAACATCAGTTTGCTTTGACCAAAACCCTAAAAAATGGCTTTCTGTGTGATTTTTCATACAAAAGTCTATTTTTCGAGGAAAATTTCAAGAAATGTCGATTTTGGATCAAATTTATGGGCAAGTAGGTGTTCGGTTGTTTGAAAGCTCCCATTATTTTTGCAAAAAACATCAGTCTACTTTGACCAAAACCCTAAAAAATGGCTTTCTGTGTGATTTTTCATACAAAAGTCTATTTTTCGAGGAAAATTTCAAGAAATGTTGATTTTGGACCAAATTTATGGGCAAGTAGGTGTTCGGTTGTTCACAGACTCCCATTATTTTTGCAAAAAAATGGCAGTTTGCCTTGATCTAAACCCTGAAAAATGCTTTTTTCGGGTACTTCCCGTACAAAAGTGTCATTTTTCAAGGTTTTTCAGGTCCTCAGTCGAAGGCTTATGGTACGAAATTGGTAGGTCAGAATGGGCTCAAAATCAATCCGAAGCTTTGTCTCGACATGCCAAAACTTTTGGCTTTTACAGATCTCAATTATCTTGTCAACTTTTTGAGATAATCGGCGAACGAAAAGCTCGGACGCGGACGCGAACGAAAAGCTAGGACGCGGACGCGAACGCGAACGACGCCATACGCACATCGCTATTTTGCACATTTTTCATAGTAAACAACATGTTTTTGGGGGTAGATAGGTCTTGATCGATAGGATTCATCCCATCTACATTGCCTAGTGTACAGATATGTGCTTTTTGAAGTTTGGCGTGACGTTATAGTGGTCCGAAAGAGGAGATGTCATGAAATTTTGGCTAGTAAAACCAATACTTTTTCTAACAAACAAAGTTTGCGGAAAAGTAATAAAATGAGGCACAAGCAGAGCTATGTCTTGCTTGGTTGGTGAGTTACAGAAGACTAAATTCTAGAGACACATTTTTTCCCTAGCTTAACTAATTGTTTTTCTTATCAATATTCTGCAAAATAGTGGGGAAGGCATATTGACCAATGAAATGAGATAAGTAGGTAAAAAGGGATGGGTTTGCACTTGACAAGGTATTGGGAATGTGAACCATCAATTCGGCTTATAGTTTCGAATGGTATGGAAGGTAGACGAAAGAAAAAGGAATTAGCATATGCTAATTGTTTTGAGTGCACATTTTGAGTACAAAGTGGCACCATAATGTCGGGTACGTCGGGAATTACCCAGAAAAGGAAGTCAGTTTATGACGAAAATGCATCAGTTTTATTGCCTAACGTGGTACGTAGCTGAACTGCGCACGCATGTTTGTTGATGTTATACTGTGTGGGGGAATTCCAAACGCAATTAGGAGATGAAAAAGACGAGAGAAGTAGAAACGAGACGAAAATAATAAAAATTATTGAGGATGCAGACAAATATTGAAGTCTGCAACAAAAACAGAAATGCACTTTTGGTGCTCGACGCATATTCCATTCATGCGAGACGGTACCATATATAATCATAAAGCAGTTCGGTACAAAATATGAATCGTTTGGTCAATTGAACGCAATGGCAGTGCTGATATTGCTACATTGGCACAGAATTCGGATATTCGGGGAAGAAATTTCGGACGTTTTCAACGAAATTCCAATGCACGGTAAATGGATAACATGTTGGCATTGGGAACATTTGGTCGTCGAGTCAAATTTCACATTGTTCGGTGCGCATTCATCGCGCGAGCATTGTCTCTGTGTTGACATTACGATG